TCGTAAATATAACTGGACCCGGGAAATTTGTTATTTTTGTTATAACTGGATGTCGCGCCTCGTCCGCGAGTTGGGCGTTCGCGTGTCTGCTTTTGCTTTTTCTCGAAGATTCTTTTTAAAGTAATTGTCTACATTTGTGTGGGTAAAATACAACCTCGTCCAAGCCCAGGGCGCAAAGTCTTTCCCACGGCTTTGGAGAGAAAAGCGCCCTGGGGACGAGATTGGGTAAAATAATATTAGAAGTGGAATACTTTAAACTCATATGATCTATCAAATGTTAAAAATTTTCAAAACAATAGCTTATTTCATCCGGAGATGATCCTAAGACCTTTATTTTGCCTAAAGATACAAAAAATACGGGTTTATTAATATTTAATTCTTTGAAACAAAAGAAATTAATTTTTAACTTTTTTGTTAACCGTAACTGAAAAAAAAAAATAAACGGAGCCGTAAAAGAGCCAAAATTTTAGCCGATAACCTTAAAAGCCACCACCCCATTGAGACCCTTTGCCGTATCTGCGACTGAAACAGTCAAAGATTCGACTTAAGTTCGACTTTTGACTCAAACGTCGCATTTCACATGTGCCGAGCTTAATGCATGAATTTTAGTAAATTATTACTATATTACTGCGGATAAATGACAGCGATCAGAGTTAAATTCGACATAGTTGTGCCGTAAGTACGGCACATGTGAAATTCGACGTTTGAACTGGGCCTTAGGAGTACGGGGTAGTTCACTAAAATTTGCATTCCCATTACTAATGTCCTCAAAACATGCACTTCCACGAGTCATTCAACAATAGTATGTAATGTATCATACTTCCAGTAACTACAGGGCTGCAAGGCTGTGCTCTAGGAAAATTTCAGGGAGCCCTCCGGGCTCCCGAAACATTTTAGCTGGGGTACCCGGCCTCCAAGTTGGTCGCCCAAATTAATAAATCAGTGAGCTGTTAGTTAATTATTAAAAATTAAACAAATTATTTCCTGAACTAGTAAAGCAGAATTTTGTGAATAGTTTTTTCATGAAAAATCACATCCCTTTGACCTCCTGAGCGTGCAAAAAAAAAACCGGCATGTTTTCATATGAAAGTAAGTTTTCGCGCCCTGTGAGAAACATGGGCAACGCCGCCGAATATTTCATGTTTTTTAAATGGAAAAGTAAGATTCTGGTCCGTTTATGTGTTTTGTATAAAAACTGTTTGGGTCAAAAATAAGGGCACTATTCTTTTTACTAATCATTTTGATTTAGGTTGAAAAGAAAATTCGCTAATTAAGATTGACTGAGATCCAGTGGAGCTTTCCAGGAAAACTGTTATGATTTCAAAGAAACCGCGGCCGCCCCCTCAGGGTGTTACTTGGGTTAATTTTTGCTAGGTATGTGCCGCTGGCCTGTCAGGGCCCCTACCCCATTATAGTCTATTTTGTGGCCAATTGTAGACCCCATATTAGTCACTTCTGGGCAAATATGTAATTTTTGCTATCCCAACTTACTCACTTTCTATTAATGTATCTACCTTATCAATCCTTTAAATAGGTCATCAAAAAATGAATTGACCCATTAGTTAATAAACTGAATGAACACAAACACTTTACTTTTCACCTACAGTACAAATATCCTTGTACGTTTGCTAACGGTAAATATGAACAACTCTCTTACCTCAAAAATCCGAAAATGTGCGACCCCATTCTAGTAATTCTATCGAAAATGTAACCCCATTATAGTCAATCCAGTCGTGAAAATGCGACCCCATTCTGCGGCACGTCCCCATTAGCCTCTTATTAGGAAATTCCCCCGCCCCCACCCCAACTCCCGGGCCGCCCCAAAACTATTATCTCTTTTGAATAGATCATCTTGTTGTAAAGTCGTCGTTTAAGCGCAGAACGGAAGTATTTCTTTCTATATTATCGGTGAAATGTTCAGGAGAAATGAGCTTTTGTGGATTCGGTTAGCTTTTGCGCATTTATTTTTATTACGAGAAACGTAAATGCCTTGTCACGACACGAAAGACAATGCGGGACTTCGTTTTCACTGTTACGCAATAAACACGCACAAAAAAAAACAAATAGGAAACCGTCCAGTGGAAGAAGCCACAAAAATGAATGTTATAAAAGACTAATATATAAACAATTTGTCCAAATCTCAGGTCTTTGTAGACCACTGTTTCTGAGTTATTTGCCGAAACATTTCACGCTCCTTTGTAGAGCTTTGTCTGGAGACGCCAGTCCACCAATTTGGCCGCCGGAAATCAACATAAACATCTGAGCCCAGTTGTTCGAAGGCCGATTAGGGCTTAACCCGGGGTTAAATTTAACCCAGGTTTCTTTTTCTTGTGTTCAAAAGCATTTTCTCGGATAATTTTCTGTGCTATTTTTAGAGCTTCCAATCGTCAACTTATAGACAAAAAGAATTAAAACTGAAAGGCTTTCTAAGCTTTCATATCTGAATTCAAATATCGCACTAACCCTGGGTTATCTTCATCCAGCTTTGAACAACTCGGCCCTGGAGTTCATTTTTTCTATAAAAGCTCTTCCTTTTCACTCGAGAGCTAGCATACGTGCGCATAAACACATCTTTTAATACCTGAAATAATTAAACTGCTGAAAATCAAGAGGAGAGACTTTTTTCAATGAGACAGCATTCCTATTTTGGTGTCACGCACTGTGTAGACAGGAACACCCAAAGTCAATTTTCTGAAAATATCTCTTCGGAAGACGATTTGAGATCTAGAATTTTTGGAACATTTGTTGTAAAATTTCTTGCTTGCCTGTCTCTCCTAGGATTTTCGAACAACCCAAAAATGGTATAATTGCCCATTTTTAACGGATTTTTACCCTAAAAAGGTCACCGGCCTAGAATTTTCGGAGCCTTTTTTCTGGCTGAAATTTTCGAAAAGGTAAGTTTTGATCCCTATAATTTTCGGATCACTAGACTTTTAGCTAGGAAATCCGAACAGATGAAACTGAATTTTTAGGGGATAAAATATGCCCATATCTATCGTTTAAATACTAAAATACGTTTAAAAATTCTCGTTGGGTGCCCAGAACATCAACGCGTGCCCGCTGCCAGATTTAACAACATTTTCTTAAAGCTTTTTGATAGACATGCTACATATTGCTACATACAAGACGACCTCAAGAGCTTCTCAGCGAGCGGAGCGTTCTTTTTTAGGCCTCGAAGCGAACGAGAGAGCTACGATTTCGCAAGTAATAAATTCTAGACATCCTAGCTTCAATTTTTTTTACTGTAAATCAAGAAACCAACACCAGCAAGTCACCCGGCTGGGCCACCTGAACAATATTTTCAGTCGTCCTAGGCCAAGTTTTAAGCCGTTAGAGCACAGCCTTGAGTCTTTGTCCTCCTCTATGCTGTAAGCTTACTTTTCCCTTCTTTGCTGAAGCATTGTGCAATCCTACCTGACTTGCACGTGATTTGAAGTTGCAGCCAATAAAAATCACACAATTTTTTGAGGGTTGGGCGTCTGTACACAGAAAAACAATATTCTTATAGAAAGAGTGTAGCTGCTGATGCCCCTGCAAACTTTCCCCATGCACCCTCGATCTTCAATGATCGTTTACACACCTTCGTCAAAAAATGCCTGAACCTCTAAAATAAATCCCTTGTCCTTGGCAATCTCACGAGGGACTTCAAAACCAAGAAAAAAATCCTTAAAGCAAGAGCCTGTAAACAACCTAATACTAGGTAAACGTAAAATAAAGAAGTATTCGCATTTCTGTCCTCCTGGGTAAATCCCAGAAACTAATCCTTTAATTTCAAACTTGACAAACTGCATTGTAATTTTTCGGTTAACTCGAAATGCCGGAGCGAGCGTTCTTTAAAGTAACTCAAAGAAATTGAGATCCTTTTTGAAATGTTTTTGTAGAACCTTTAAACGTGCAGCGGGAATTTGAGCTTCTCGAGGGGAAAACTTCAGCAAAATCTAGATTGAGAAAAGAAGTGCAAAACAAGTCAGAAATCTCGTGACTTACCGCTTGACTGCTATTATATCAACCAAATTGTTGCCATTCAGTCAGGATAGGATAGGATAGCTGCTTTGTTATCAACAGAGCGCCTACAGACAGAAGTGTTTACAACGATAACGAAGATTTTAGTGCAATAATTACAGAGGTGTTCATTTGTAGAATTTATACAACTAGACAAGGTTATATTTAACGCGTCTTTCTCTTTCGCGGAAGCGATCACTTACGTATTTAGCCACAATTGCGTTTTCTCTCCTTGCTTCATACTTATTAACCTTGCAAAAGCAGAGCTTGGAGTCATAGAGTCAAGAAAAAGATTAGTTTCCTTTTTTAGCGTATTGAACAGCTCTCCATGTCCTAGGATCCCTATAAGCTATGCAATTCATCAAAAAATGCTCTTCGTCTTCTAATCCAGTTTTACATAATGGACAGATTCTTTGGTCTGGTGGTTGATAGGGTTTAACGTATCGCCCAGTTTCAATTGCTAGTTTGTCGTTGCTTAATCTTAGCTTTGTGATTGCCACTCTATGATTGATGTTTCTTACATTTGTGAGGTAATTTTCGTAGTCATGGGTAAGTTTAAATTTCCTAAAAGTTCTTAGTTTGTTTTTTTGATGCGGGTCCTTTCGTTCATCATTGTGTATTTCGCTAATCCATGTTTGCTGTTCTGTCTAAGAGTCTCTGTCTTATATGGCTCATGATTGCGGGAGTGTTCGTTTTCTCTGACCATATGTCGCCAAGACCTGCGAGATTTAATAGCCGTTTTAATTTGCTTGGCCAAAGTTCCTTTTTTTCTTGAGCAATTTGATCTGATTTTTCCAGAGAGTTTATTTTGGCTCTGCACTTTGTCTTCGTTCGCATTGGGAAACGGCCTACCTCCCACCTTCACGCATTTGAGATTTGTTAACTCCCAATAGCCAACTAATGAACTTTGTTTGTACAAACTCAATTGGAGTCATTAACATTACGTAGCGTGTATTTTGGGAACGAAAACAGTTTTGTGCAATGCATAATTTACACTTGAGCAGGTTGCTTTGTTTTTGTCAAATAAAATGAGACAGAGCTGAATAATTTCAAATTATTAGTGGTTTTATAACGGTATACACACTTCTCTTCTTTCTGACGTACTTTATCTGTTACCTAACCTGTTGAAAGTCAAGTTTTGTTATTTCCAGTCTTGGTGAAAGGATTTTGGCCGGCCTATGTAAGCTTGTTTGCGTCGATTGAAGTTGAACTGCACGTTACAACTAGAGGATGAAAAACGCTGTAAGTCAGTAATACCATGTAAATGTTATCATCAAAATATATCTTTAAGTCCTCTATTCCTTCTAATTGGGATAAAGGAGGCAATTGAAAACTGATTCCATTGGCGTTTATATTAAAGTTAAACGGTGGTATAATGTACCATAAACTGTGCATGCGAGTTTAAGTAAAGGTATATTCAGTCGGTCGAGTCTGATCATAAAATGCTGATCTCTAAACAGTATGCAGGAAATGTAGGGACGGGACAAAGGAAAATAAATTCAACAAGAGGAAGATCTATCTCAGAGGCACCAAAGTAGCCGTAAAGGAAATCCACGAAATAATCTAGTCGGCTCATAACAGACTACTGTTTGACCGTGGGATTACTTTCGTCACATTGGTGCGACATCCTTGTATTTTACAATTCCTGGCTGTAGCTGCTTATCACTCTACCACACCACTCTTGGTTGCTAAACTGATGGATACGTCACTTTCGCAGCTTGTGAAAGTTGAGAGGAGTTTAGGCAACAGATACATCAGAATACTCGCGCTAGACGTGGCTTACGGCATCAATTACCTTGACTGCTTCCAACCCAATCCCATACTCCACCGCGATGTTAATAGCGGCAACGTAATGGTTTGGCGCCAGGGAGACAAGTGGCGTGGCAAACTGTGTGATTTTGGATCAGCGGAATTTATGGGAAGCAAGATGTCGCCGAAAATCCAGGGAATCCGTTTTATTCTGTTCCGGAGGCAAGCAGTTCACGCCAGACTCCTAAGGTAAGATTTTATCACTCCTCCACCCCATCTCTCTCTCCCCCCACCCCGTCTCACAAAAAGCACTGTGTTTATTGGGAGTGAAAAACCGTTTATTTGCCGCCAGTAGTTAGAAGGACTATACCCGATAGATCTTTGCATGATACATATTAGTACAATGAAGGACAATATGGGGAATCTAAGATGTTACCACCGTGAAATTGTAAAAGTTTGATATTCGAAACAACAACTCTACACGTGCATCCCATTTTTTGGTACATTTCCTTCCGTCACTGCCAACTGCGACTTAAAATTTCCAAACTCGAGGTTTTGTAAAGGACTTGAACTCACATCAACATTGTTTTCTAACTGTTTGAGCCTGGATTCCGTCTTGAAGAAACCTCCCCTGCATTTTACAAATTGTTCGAGTTGGAATAATCGAGATGATACTTGCAAGAAAATGACTTTGAGCGATTTCCCTACCAAGAGTAACCAAAACTAAGGAATCGTTATGACTGCTTACCTTGACTGCTTGCAGTCCGCCTTTTCTCTTAAAATCCGTCTCGTTCTTATCTCAGCGCGCTGGCAAACCACGACGATAACAGACTTCTCGTAGTCTACTGCTTACCATTTTTACAAGAATTTTCGGAAGTAAAATAAACTGTTCAAGGCGTTCAGACAAGAGGGTGGCAGAGGGTGTGAAAGTGGAGCAGCACGACGAAAAAGTAAAATAAAAATAAAGTGAAATCATGAAACTATCCGATTTTTTTCCTCAACATTTTTTTCGTCGCGCTCAGCACCACTTCCAGCTGCTGTTCCACACTATCTGTGTTAGTGTAGTAGTAACAAGTCTGGGACCTAATAATGTGAGCCCAAGGTACAGGCTGAACTGCAGTGATTCCCACATTCAAACCATTTCAGAAACAAAAATGTAGCAGGGGTTTTTATGCATGAATACTTGTCTATAGTCCGGTTAACGTGTACGATTTCTACCCAGGCCCTTTCGGCCACAAACCAGCTAGGACCACGTGCCCCAAAAGCAACAAAGAGCCCAAGGGACAAGGAAAACAGTTTCTCGTCGGAAGAATATAAATTACATATGGACAAAAGAAGTTCATCTCGTTGGTTATTAGTTTCTGTACAAAGGGCAGCCACTTTAATCAAGCGCAATGACAGTTTCATTCATGATACTAAGAAAAGTAATGTTATCGCCGATAGTTCCAAGTGCTACTCATTCAAGTCGGGTCAGCGGGGCAAATTTCCCTTTCATAAACGGGTTGCTGCCATTTTAAGACACTCAGAAAGGTTTTGACCTGTTATTGAAAGTCGGGTTCTATTAAAAAGAAAGAAGATCCCAAGCCACGGTCGAACCCGAACCTTACGTATCCTACTCTCTCTCCCTTACCAGTACACTACTATACCGACCCTTCAAAGTTTTAAAAAGTTTAAATGCATAAAATAGCAAACTGTCGTTCTTGACTGGTACATCAATAACAGGTAACCCAACCCTTTCCATAACTTTTAACGTAAATGCAACTTGGGCTTCAAAGTCTTTCTTTCTAAGACTATTCCAAATTGTATTATTTGCCTCTGCATCGATGACTAAAGGCTTAATTCCAATGGTGGCATCGACGTAAAAAATATCAACCACCGTTAACAAAAGATAAGGGCAGGAGAGCGCCCACCTCCTTCCCAGAGTTCTCTCGGCCTGCAATCGACATAAACTTTACAAGCCCTTACAAACCCTTAAGTTCTTATTCATTTTCTCTCAAACAGATGGATGTCTACAGTTATGGCGTGTTACTCTGCGAGCTCTTTACAAACCAATCCCCGATCGTCTGGGATTTTTCCGACGTATGAAAACCAGGCCTTAGGATTATGCCTAGTTTTCGTACGGTCGGGAAAATCCTAGGCGATTTTACTGACTGTTTCACCGCGACCGTCCCAGATTTTGCCGACTTATGAAAACTCGACTCATAGATATCCCCGATCGTTTGGGATGGTCAGGGACAAATCTGGAGAATCGGGAGCGTCTCTATTTTCCAGATGCATCCAAGATTTCTGCGATCAGGGTTGGCGATCATTCCCGAATAAATGAAAACTCAAATTTGAAGCGGTCGGGGACGTCGGCAATGGATTTCGCTCTTTACTAATCCTCTAAATATCTGGGCTCCGGTCGCCCTATCGCGCAAGTTTTAATTTTTGACGTACTTGCTATTTCCCGACAAATTAAATATCTGGAGAATCTGAGACAGTCTTGTGGCGAGTATCCAATATAAGTCTGGGATGGTCGGCAAAAAGTAAAATCCCCGATCGTTTGGGATTTTCCCGACATATGAAAACCAGGCTTTAATTCTTTCTCTTTGATCTCGTGTCCAATTTACACCGCAACAAAATCTGCCCATTTGCACGAACGGTGAAAATTTCACGTAGTTTACTTAAAAAAATAGACTGTAGCCATAATTGCAACTATCCGTAAACAATATTTGTTGAACTAGAAATATATTTGTTGAACTATAAATAGTCGGTAGTAAAAGGCTTCACTCAAAGGGGAAATAATTTCTATATGTCTGTGGCATTTGAGCAAATTTTAAGACCAGACTACAATCGGCGACAAAGTTGTTGCTCTCACAGAACAAAAGAATCCACGCCCCTCCATCCTCCACTCCTTTCAAAGTTGAGGTGTTTCTTGTTTTAATTTCTAGGTAGCTCCAACAGCGGCACAACATTGCATGGAGGGGATGGGGGAGGAAAAGCTTTATTTTGCCCTTTAATTTGAGGTCAGTAAAAACGCCAGAAAGTCCTTTAGGGCGAAGTGTAGCAACCAATTTTGTCACCGATTGTAGTTAAAGCTTGTTTATTCTCTTTCCAGCTCCGACTCGCACTGAATTCGAAGGAAAAGTTTTCATCACATTCTCAAGAGGTCTTTTAGCAGCCCGCAAGCTCTCCTTCAGGGTCCAGTTGTTCGAACGCCGGTTAGCGCTAACCCGGGGTTAAATTTTAACTTGGGTTTCTTTTTCTTTTTATCAAAAGCACTCTCTCGGATAATTTTCTTTATTTTTTTAGCATATCCAATCATCAAATTGTAGGCAAAGAGAATTGGACTGAATTGGCTTTTTAAGCTCTCATATCTGAGTTCGAAATTTGCACTAACCCTGGGTTATCTTAACCCAGCTTCGTACAACCCGGCCCAGGGTGATAAGACCCTTGTATGAATTTAGTGAAATATATAGCTTATGATGATAATAGAATAACACATTGACTAAACACATGAAAACTATAATTTTTGAATATTTGTTTGACTTCTTAATAAAAAAAAAAAATGAGAAAAATTGAATTTTCAAACTATCTAGCAAATCAAGAGAACGTTGACGGAAAGAATAGGAGCCACAAGGATGCATCTAAAGAGAATACTTGTTGCTTCAGGGGTGATAAGGTTTTTGTATTTTCTTTAATAATAATAGGTTGAATTTTGCGAAGAAGAGGATAACTTATCTGTTGTGTTAAACGTCTTTTCCAAACTTTGTAAGAGATATGAAGCAAACCGAACCCACGTCCTAAGGGTCGTCTCGCACCCGCTGGGGACGAGGTTGGCAACAACGCGGATAACCACTAAGCGGTCCTTAAACTGAGCTATAATGCGTACTTTTGACCCTATTTCTACAAATCACTTAATTTTGGGGTTTGAATAGGAAAAATGTCCCATTAAAACTTAGCAGCAAATATTAATTTTATTGTTACGCCGCGGATATGTTATGACGGTAGGCCAATTAAGAACTTTTTACCAGAATCTCGAAACTAAAAAGCTATAAAAATTAATCGAATATTTGTATTCACTCAAGAGATAACGTTTATTTGAAATTTGAATTTTCAGCCAATTACTTTGTTACCAAAATACCTTGGGTTTGTATCAATCATTTCGTAGAACTTAGAACTTAGAATGGACTCTTAAAAACAAGGCCACGCGCGCGGAGATTCAAAATAAGTTCTCTTCACTGGTGTTGAAAATTATAACAAAATCATAAAACGATTGCATAAAATAGATCAACTAGTGTTGTCTGCGTACAATGAAATATCACAAAAATAATGATCATGATGTCGTTTTTCCCCTTTATTTCAACATTTCAGCGCTAACAGCGGTTAAAATGAAACTTTACACGTGCATGCAAATGTTGGCCAGTTCACAACAAGTGGGTTTATTATTTCAAGTTACTATTCTCTCTTTTTCAAGTAAAGAAACAATGAAAAAAGGATAATTGGTGAAGCTAAGGGAATAGTTGAAACCCAAAGGTAAATCTCTGGAAAAACCTCAGACCATACTCGCCTGAGTAAAAACAATCAGATTAGCAGCAATTGTTGAATTCTAAGTAATTTGCTTCTAACAAAATTACGGTTCACACTTGGCATATATCGAAGACTTCTTATCAGCATTTTTTAAAACCCATCACCTGCTTATCACATAACAAACCCTATTTTAGTTAAAGGTAATGGAATAAGTGACCAGTCTAGTGCTGTCCCAGGCGTACAGCACTTTTTCTCTGGGGTTGTAGTCCACCATGGAGTTGTAGCGATACTGATTGGTGAACTGAATGTTGGGGTTCCACTGTTTCCCAGTCTTGGTGTCGTAAGCAAAATTGATGGTTGTGGACGTTGAACCATAGTTGTCGATACAATAAACCACGCCACAGGCAACAAACGCGTTTCCCATACTCCCCATCTTTTCTAAAGGAATATAGAAATAAAACTCACGGTATTAACATGGATCTAGGTTGGAATAAGTTTCAAAAGAGGCCTATTAATACGACAAATTGTGAAACAAAACCGCTGTCTAAGCAAAGCAGTTTTCAATTTTGTCAGCCCTGATCTGATAACGTTTGCTGTTAACAATCATGATCAAGAAGGCTTACAACCTAATCTAGAAAAAAAAATTTCTACTACTTAGAAGATAAGCCACTTATAAATAAAACCCTGCCCACGCCAAGTGTTCATCAAATAACTACCTATTTGTGTTCCTTAAAAATCTGTTTATGGTACTCATACCTGTATTCAAACTCCAAGTGCTGGTTACGGAATTTTTTTGCACGTTGATTTTAGAAGCATGAAGACGATAGCTGTTTCTGGTACTACCCCATAATACCCACAATCCATTTTCATCAACTGGCAAGTCCACTCCACTGTATCCACCCCACTGGTATGTGGTTTTCCTTGGTGCGTAATCGCTTATCCTTATTTGGGCCTCCTCTTTCCCTGAGTGCAGATTGAACTTGACAATGAAGTTTGTATTAGCCCTTTCAAGAAGAGACAAAAAGTGGCTTAATATAAAGTTTTCCTGGATTTGCTTAATACCTCCCATGACTAAAGCAATATACAATGTAATTCAATTTGAGTGTTGTAATTTCTGTTTTACGCGTTTTTTTTCCTTTGTAAATCTTTATCTGTTACTATATTACTTTTTTCACGTTATATTTATGTAACTATGTATCAGCTAGGAATTGAAGGAATAAATAAAATGAAATAAATAAAATAAATGAATAAAGCAGAATAGTTACCAAAGAACATCGGGTAGTTTTTTTTCTTTAAAATGTGAAATGAATGACCCAAGGCAAGGAAAAAATATACGATGTGGTAGAAAAATTTTGCTGGTTTTTGAATATTTGATTGATAGATTGACCTAGAGAATGCACCTACTTAAGACCAATGGGAATAGCAAAAATGCAGATCTAACCAATTACGACTGCCCTAGAGCTCTCATAAAAGGAAAATACACGAAAGGACTTTTACCAAAAATAGTTTCACTTTTTTATTAGCTGGTGGCACATGGGAAATAACGAACAACGAACAACCAACCTGCTGTAGTAAAGATATTGTCCATAAACCACTCCCCCTGTTCCGTCCCACTGATAAGGAAGTTTGTAGGTCTTACGAGTTATGCCTGCTTTTAACTTGGCCATATTTTCAAACTCCTCAAGCACGTCCCTTCCGGTATATGACTCCATAACGAAAATAGTTTCACTACCCATGATTCCGAGCGGATCTTTCATCCAGGCTCCTTGTGTGGACTTTCGGGTGTGGTGAGTCACAGCTTACCAACCGCACAGATATCGTTACATCTGCCTGCAAATGCTAAAGTACCAAAAACATAATAAGAGGAGACTGACAGTCTCAAGTTATTGAAACTGCCCTAATTTAAGTCAAGGACCTTAGACATGACGGAAAATAATGTTGCAAGGTTCTGGTCTGTGTGGTGTTGAATTTTTAATGCAAAAGGCCCTTAATGTTTCAGGGATGTTTTAAAGAAAATAATTAATTGATATGAACAAAATTACTTCAAAATGGAAACAAACCTGTACGACGACCATAAGGTAAACATGCCCAAACTTCTCTTAAGTAAAATGAAGTCCATAACCGGCTGCTTTAATTTTTAGCGTAACTTTTCCTTCCTGCAAATGGCAGGCAATTGAAGAGGAAACTTGCCGCGTACTTATCAGAAACCCGGAAATGCAAGGTATAAAGCATATTTAAAACTATCAGCAAGAGAGGATGAAGGGCCCCTCTTTCTACCAGACAATCAATTAAAGGACAGTTATGGAGTTTTAAGACTCTTTTAACGAACCTCCTTGTTGTGGGCAAAGACTGTCCCTGGTTTTCTCCAAGTCATGCTCCGCATCAATAATCATCTTAAGCAACTGATCATGAGTAGTTGAAAAAAGAGAAAAAGTGGAAGCAAAGTTTTACATCTATGCAGAATTTTTTTTTAGCTGGAGTTCATAATTTTTATTTCTTCTTGAGACATATCACCAAACGAGTAAGTGGGTTACGGGACACAGAGAGCTAAGACGTGTGCAGTTTGAAAGACTGAAGTGGGACTCGAATTTGGGAGATCAGGTAATTGAGGACGTGGTAAAAACATTGTACACAGACATTATACATTATAAAAAGCCATAAACACATGATTATTTATACACAGGTGCAGATACATGTTTAAACTAAAAAAATAATGATCTATTTGTAGAGCAGGGAACTTTTGGATGTAATAATAATAATAATAAGTACTGCCGTCATCTAAGACTTACATGCTTTTTTGCCAACTCAAGAGCTAGGTCCTTAAGAGACGAGTTTCGGCCAAATTTACCGTACCATGACGGGGCTCGTTTGTTGCGAGGTTTTACCAACGAATTATCCAGGCTTGCGTCACTCTACAGAAATAATTGCAGATAAACCTGTAAGGCAGTGGGCAAAACATTTCGCGGCAGAAGCACATTAAACGCCGAGCTTGAAGGGGAGAATTAGTGTTGAAATTATTACACATGGAACGGTAGAAAAATTCAAGCAAGAGCTAGAAGAAAGTTAACACAAAAAAGGAATGGGGAGAGCTAAGGAAAATATTTCTGACGGTATTGATATCTACAAAGCATAAACACTGATGTACTGACATAGATTCACCTATTAATCTAATTGGCCCTGTACGTTTACTTTACTTTATATGATGTTTAAAGTTTTCTTTAGCGGGTTTTTAGATAACCATTTACACACTGAGAACTAGGTTATCTGACTAACGTTTGGCTGTAATATCGCCAACTACGCTATATTTTAGCTCATTTTGAATCTTTTCTCTTCCTAATTTACAGCAAAAATCACTGCAGCCCAGCTGAACGTTGAATTTTCCGTTCATGTGCTGAAAGTGGGTTTACGTGGCAAGCTACTTTGAGATTTTGATCAACCCTGCGCGGGGAATGCTGTGGAGGTAATTACCATAGCCACATACGCAGACGTTTTTTTGGTTTGTCTGGCAATCCTTCCCAACGAACGTCTGCTGAAATAAGCGGTTAAAAACGTGGAGCACTTCCAGTTTGTGGGGAAGGAACGTGTGAGGAAGCCCTAAATCGTAAGGGAGGCTATAATTTATAACCATAGCAAACTTACCAGTAAAAGGCCAAACAAGAGGAAAAATAGCGGACACGATCCAAACATCTTCGGAAAAAAAGAAATCTCTCAACCTGCAGAGGAAAAATAATTAGTTTCGAAGGACAATGTGAACTCGAAGCCTTTAGGCTTATTTTCTTAGCAGTTTAGGGCAAAGCTTCTCACGGTCTGATTACCAGCAGTGGCTCTTGATCCCTCACAATACACTTGATAAGTGAATGATTTTCTTGGCTAATCTAATCTAATATTTATTGCCTCTATTATTTATTTTGTCTGCCGTTTTTTATTGTTTAAGATATGGGAAAATTTCTTGTTTCGAAACTGATGCAAACTTCCGCTTTTTTCGTGTTAAATTAACGCTTACTCTACACTGTCAATGCTAACGTGTCGACTAAAACTTTCTCGAAAAATATACGTTTTGCTTGAAAGGTTGACCAAAATTGAAATAATTACTGACACTCTTATAAAATATTGAGAAACAAAGTACGATGTCTAAAAAATATATGAAATATAGCAAAAGAAAATGTCTAGATGAAATGATTGAAAGATGTTTAACACAAGAAATATATACTTAATCTCTTGAAGATCGATTAGAATACTCAAAGAATTGGTTGATATTGTTTGTAAAGTTTATCTTCGCGATATTCGTTTACCGCTATAAAAATCAACGTTAAGAAAGAACAACGACGTTTCGACCGTTCGACGGTCATTTTCAAGTTGAGAAATAAAAAATTAGCATGTGCTCGTATACAATTGTGAATAGGCTAATGAGATACTGTCTAAAAACTCTAAAATATGCAGACGTGGCTGCAAGTTATCGCGGAAAGTTTCGCCACAGCTAGACAAGGCGCCTTAAATTTCCGCCCTTCGTGTTGTCCGCTTGGTTGTTTCAGGCTGAAAAATAATGCTACGACGTTTTCTTTTACCTTTCAAACTTTGTAATGTAAGTTTTAAAAGTCTTTAATCCCTGCGTCTAAAACCCGTTTTGTTTTCTGTTGACCGACCGTTAACCCAAATGGTTTTAATGCAAAGTTTTCATCTAACAAAAACGAGGCCCTAAACATAAAGAAAAAATAAATAATTAAATAAAAACGTCCACTTGACCTGGAAAATTTCTCGAATAGCTTCCCCCAGAATTTGAAATCGAAAATGGAAAGCCCCCCCTGTTACCCTTGGGCTCGTCACTTGCACGAGACACAGTAGATCATGTACCAGACTGTCTGCGAGCCGGCTAGCCACTGTTCCCCACTGCAAACTTCCCCCACCACCCTAAACAATCTTTCCAAGCGTTCACACACCTTCGTCAAAGGATCGAGACCCTCTAAAATATATCCGGCCAGGGGCTCGTTTCTCGAAAGGCCCGGTAACTTTTCCGGTCCGTCTTTTAAAATCAAAACCTGTTGAATAGTAAGCACAGTTCCTCGCACCCAAACCGGTCAATATGTTTCGTTAACTGATAGTTTCATTGTATTATTTTCAAAATTATTGAAATTTTCATCCTAAATGCAAACACGGCAAACATAAAAACAGCTTCCTGGGGCCGAAAGGTTGCTGGGACTTTCAAGAAACAGGCTCCAGTGCCCTTACTAAGCATAGGAACCTGGCAAGCTCACTATAGCTAAAACAAGACCGTAAAATAACATGACACTAGGTAAAACATAAAAAATATTCACAGGTTCCGTCCTCCTGGGTAAATCCCAGAAACTAAACTGTTTATTTCACGGTTAACGCGAAATGGCGGAACGAGAGTTCTTTAAAAGAAATTGATGTCTTTTTTTGAAATGTTTTTGTAGAACCTAACGTGCAGCGGGAATTTCTGCTTCTGAAAACCTCAACAAAATCCAGAATGAGAAAAGAAATGCAAATGATGTCAGAAATCTTGTGACTTGCCGCTTGACTGCTATTATATCAACCAAAATTATTGTCATTCATTGTCATTAACATTACGTAGGGTGTATTTTGAGCACGAAAACAGTTTTGTACAATGCATAATTTACACTTGAGCAGGTTGCTTTGTTTTTATCAAATAAACTAAGACAGAGCTGAATAATTTCAAAATTATTAGTGATTTCATAACGGTATATACACTTCTCTTCTTTTAGACGTATTTTGTCTCTTGCCTAACCTGGTTATCCCTTTGACGAGTCCAGTTTTGTTCTTTCCAGTCAGTGGTAGAAGGAATTTGGCCTGTATGAAAGCTTGTTTGCATCGATTGAAGTTGAACTACATGTTACAATTCGAGGATGGGAAACGCTGTAAGTCAATAATACCATGTAAATGTTATCATCAAAAGGTATATTAAAGTCCTCTACTCATTGTTGACTATAATTGGGATTATGAGGAGGCAATTGGAAACAGATTCCATTGACGTTTATATTAAAGTTAAACAGAGGTATAATATAAACTGTGCATCCGAGTTCAAGTAAGGGAAAATCCGGTCAGTCGAGTTGTTGTAATCATAAAATGCTAACTGACTATCGAATAAACACTATGCATACTAAATAAATCGAAGCACACCAAATGACAGAATAATTCAATTATCTTCTTGTTACTACGTACATGTTAACCGATTTATTACAAAATAATGGCATAATAATGTATTTGAGGTCGTACCTTATCTTGGTTTCAATGCAGATCGCTTCCGCTCCGTAGCAATCATTTTGTTACTAAAATTTCCTACAGTCGCTCACGTTTATTATGGGTAGAATTTCTGCCAAGAACTCTAATGGAGTACTTGGCTCCTAGTATTTCATGATAAGTAGTGTACGAGGCTGTGGGCAGACATTTATCCAACCCCTTTTTATTTGAATACACATGTCTATCAGAGGCCTCCTCAATATTCCATAATGTAAAATCATCCCCTGATAATGTGCCCTTTTAGTTTGCTAAAAGCATTTCTGAATAAGTAAAAGTACGGACGGGACGTAGGAAAATCAGTCCAACAAGAGGAATATATATCTTGAAGATAATTTACTTGTTTGGTACTAGTTAAGGAAGTTTCAATTTAATTTTGTTGGCACAAATATTTTCAATTACCGTGTAATAGTTCATGTAAGATGAGAAAGTCGACTCGTCTACTGTCTTAATATTAATGCTCACGAAACATTTTATGTTATTTGTTTGGTCCTTTTAGAGCGTCAAAGAACTCGAAAGAATTGGAGCAAGGAACGAATTTCACTCTGAAGATTCCCTGGACATAGAAAGAACGTTTCAGTTTGTGACTGGGGATAATGAAGAGATCCCGGATGTTCATGAGTCAGGTGACAAGCCTATGCAAAAAGGAAGAAAAAGAGACAAGCAACGGGGGTCAAAAGACAAGGGTGAAAGTACTAAACATCCCGAAGAACTTTCAGCAGAGGTTTTGGAAAAACAGATTCCTCGAAAGAAAAAAGCCATGCAACTAAAGATTAAACATCTGTTGATTGAACGGCATGGTTTAAATGAGATAATCTCTAAGGGCAAGCAAATTGTTGATCAACTGACAAGGGAGCGGGAAAGAAATTTGGAAAGAATTGAGGAAAAAGAACAAGTGATCGAAGGAAAGGAACATGCTATTCAGTCATTTCACGATAAAGTACAAGTATTATCTGCACAGAACGAGGAGAAAGAATCTGAGCTTAGGGAAAAGGATCGCTTATTGAGAGAAGCAAATGAGCACTCTCAACTACTTCAAAAACAGTTCGCCGAACAAGAAATGATCGTAAAAGAAATGCAAAGCGCAATAGAAGGCTTATATAGCGAGAGGGAAAACAGTAGGTCTGACTATGAAAGCGTGGCTAGCAAAGATCTAGGCAAAAGAGTCGAACTAGAGTCACTGAGGCGGGAAAATGACCAATTGAGGCTGCAGCTACAAGAAAAGACCAGGAGGCTCAGAGACAGAGCGATGGAGATCGATTCACTCAAGCAGGAGAAAGACACCATGCAACAAGAAAAAATCAACTGCGACAAGATTAGTCTGGAGAGGAAACTTTCAGTCGACAGGTTAAATCGTGAGAAGGAGAGAGGACTAGCATATCTTGGTCAGCTTGAAATTCGATTGACAGAAAAGCAACAAGATTTGAAACGTGCACAAGATGAAAATGCCGAATTTCGAGATACGCTAAGACGAAAAGAAAACCTTCTCCTCGAGAAGGGCAGAACTATAGAGGCTCTGGAAGCTTCGCGAAAAGGGACATCTGACCGGTTAGACCGACTTGAAAAACAGTTAGAGGATGAGCGCCGGGCCCAACGAAACGAGTACGACGCGTTACGTGAGGAGAAGCGCGTCTGCGAGGAACGTTTACGGCGAGCGGAGGCTACGTTAGAAAGTCACCAAAGGCGCGTTCGCGTGCTAGAACAAGAAGTCGAAAGAGCTCGTCAATATAAAAGTATATTTCGCGGGGATCAACCTTGGATGATCAGCAAGGATGAAATTAAGCTTTCTGATAAAGTGCTTGGTACTGGCGCTTGGGGAAGAGTTTTGGAGGGGAATTTTCGGGGCACCAAAGTAGCCGTAAAGGAAATCCACGAAATAATCCAGTCGGCTCATAACAGACTTTTGTTTGACCGCGAGATTACTTTTGCCACATCGGTGCGACATCCTTGTATTTTACAATTCCTGGCTGTAGCTGATTATCACTCTACTACACCACTCTTGGTCGCTGAACTGATGGATATGTCACTTTCGCAGCTTGTGAAAGATGAGAGGAGTTTAGGCAACAGATACATCAGAATACTCGCGCTAGACGTGGCTCACGGCATCAATTACCTTCACTGCTTTCAACCTAATCCCATACTCCACCGTGATGTTAATAGCGGTAACGTAATGGTTTGGCGCCAGGGAGACAAGTGGCGTGGCAAACTCTGTGATTTTGGATCAGCGGAATTCATGGGAAGCAAGATGTCGGAAAATCCAGGGAATCCGTTTTATTCTGCTCCGGAGGCAAGCAGTTCACGCCAGACTCCAAAGGTAAGATTTTGTCCCTCTTCTACCCCATCTCCACCCCCCTCCCTCGCCATACAAAAAGCACTGTGTTTATTAGAAGTGAAAAACCGTCAGTTTGCCGGCAGTCAGTTAGAAGGACTACCCCAAAAGATCTTTGCATGATACATGTTAGTACGACGAAATGGGGAATCTAAGATGTTACGACAGTGAAATTGTAAATGGTTTGATATTCGAAACAACAACTCTGCACGTGCACCCACTTTTTGGTGCACTTCTTTCCGTCGCTGCCAACTGCGACTTAAAATTTCCAAACTCGAGGTTTTGCAAAGGACTTGAACTCACAACAACATTGTTTTCCAATTGTTTGAGCCTGAATTCCGTCTTGAAGAAACCTCCCATGCATTTTACAAATTGTTCGAGTTGGAATAATTGAGATGTTACTTGAAAGAAAGTGACTTTGAGTGAGTCCCTTATCAAGAATAACCAAACTAAGGAATCCTTATGACTGTTTACCTTGACTGCTTGCAGTCCGCGTTTTCTCTTAAAATCCGTCTCGTTCTTATCACAGCAGCGCGACGATAAGAGACTGCTCGCAGTCTACTGTTTACCATTTGCTCAAGAATTTTCGGCAGGTAAAATAACCTGTTCAAGGCGTTCAGACAAGGTGGTGGCAGAGGGGGCGAAAGTGGAGCAGCTAGACCAGAAAGTAAAATAAAAATAAAATGACGTCATGCAGGAGCTCCTGCGTCATGTGACTATCCATTTTTTTCCTCAACATTTTTCGTCGCGCTCAACACCATTTCCAGCTGCTCTTTCGCACTCTCTGTGTTAGTGTAGAGGGAGCAAGTCTGGAAGTAATAATGTAAGCCCAAGTACAGGCTGAACAGCAGTGATTCCCACATTTAAACAATTCCGAAAAAAAATGTAGCAGGGGTTTTAATGCATGAATTCTTGCCTAGTCCGTGTACGGCGTCTACCTTTCGGTCGCAAACCCTCTCGAAGCACGTGACCTGAAGGCAACAAAAAGCCCAAGGGACTAGGAAAACAGTTTCTTATCGGAAAAATATAATTTACATATGGACAAAAAAAATGTTCATCTCGTTGGTTATTAGTTTCTGTACAAAGGGTAGCCACTTTATTCAAGCGCAATGACAGTTTCATTTATACTAAGAAAAGTAATATCATCGATAGTTTTAGGTGTTACTTATTCAAGTCGGGAGGAGGAGGGGCGGGGTAAATTTCCCTTTCATAAACAGGCTGCTGCCATTTTTAAGACACTCAGAAAAGTTTTGATCTGCTATTGAAAGTTAGGTTCTGCCTTTTGTATCCTACTCTCTCCCTTACCAGTACACAACCACATCGACCCTACAAAGTTTAAAAAAGTTTAAGTGCATAAAATAGCAACCTGTCGCTCTTAACTGATACATCAATAACAGGTAACCCAAACCCTTTCCCCAAGGTTTAACGTAAATGCAAGTTGGGCTTCAGCGCGGTTCTTTCTAAGACTATTCCAAATTATATTATTTGCCTTATTGTAACGTATCGATGACTAAAGGCTTAATTCCGATGGTGGCATCGACGTTAAAAACATCAACCACCGTTAACGAAAGGGAGATAAGCGGAGGAGAGCGACCACCTCCTTCCCAGAGTTCTCTGTCGGCCTACAATTGACATAGGCCTTTTTTTCAAAAATACCATAATACTCTTTTTTGTCTCTCCAAATAAAAATTTTGCATAAGCATTGTTTCCAATTTCTCCTTGGGCAATTGTAAGTCCCAGGAGAAATTAAAAACAATGCTTATGCAAAATTTTGTAGGGACAAAAAAGAGCATCATGGAATTTTTGAAAAAGGCCTATAAACTTAATAAGAAGCCTTTACAAACCCTCAAGTTCTTATTCATTTTCTCTCAAACAGATTGATGTCTACAGTTATGGCGTGTTACTCTGCGAGCTCTGTACCAACCAAACACCGAACCCTGACGAAAGACAGCGACAAATCGCACTGATGTGGAACAAAAATCTGAGAGAGTTAGTGGAACAGTGCGTGGCTGAAGATCCCGCCATTCGCTCGTCAATGACCGACGTCATTGCTGTGTTAGAACCAATGACAATATGAAACAAGCAAGCACCCCCTTTTCTTTTGCGACTTTTGCATTTTGTACCTGTTAATTAACGTGTACTTACGCAACCAGTCGCAGAACAAATGTATATTTTTTACCGTGACATAGTACTGAAAAAGGGAGGATTTCAATCCCTAAAAATTCGTTTACATTCGATAAATCGAACAAGATGACGTTTTTAGCGATGAAGTTTGAAATAACGTGAACTGACATTTTTTGCTGCCGCCGCGCGCCGTCAAGGTTGCTTGAGCTCCCCGATTACTGTAGCCAACATTACTTCCCTTTCCCAAAATATCTTTAATCCAGCCTCTCGTAAAACCTGTTCGGTGCCATCTGTCTCATAGGCATCCTCGACGGCTTGTACTTGCCAGTGCTTGCTTGCTCCCAAACCCTTTTTAAAATATTAAAGCTTAGCTAGGTTATCTAGTTAGAGCTATGCAAATACATCATTTTCTAAGTGACGCTAACAGATTTTTATTAGCCTGTTCACAGACCTTCTATTTTCTCTTTAGAGATTATTATTTGCCAAGCGCGCGTAAGAATTTATTTACCTCTAACGCAAGGGGGTGGGGGCGGGTGGCCTAAACCGGTTGCATGTGCCGCAGATAGGTAAATAGGGTCGGGGTCTTGAGCCTTAACATTTTATTTTATTTTATTTGCTTTGCCAAAAAAAAAAAAACAAACGAACAAACAGAAAGAACGTTGGCAGGGACACCGCAACAGTTGTAGCCAATTACAGCGGGCCCGGATACTAATAAAAAAATAAAAACATTTTATACAATCTTCAATAGTTTTCAGTCTTAAACAGGGTGTCTGTTCGAACTGTCGGCCTATAAAAGATTAAGGTTAGCAATTAGCGCGAGAGCGTTTTCAGTACATTTCCAAGGGTACCAACAATTTTTTTTCCAACAAGTCTAATTCCTTGATGTTAGCTTGAAACATTAATTCTATATGTAAAACGAAACGCACCAGGTATAAAAATAAGTCTCTTGTCTTAATTAAACAGGGTTCCTGTCTGAGGACATCGGCGGCTCACCTCTAACTGAGGGTCTCAAGGTTGACGGCTATTTTTTTTGCCATTGACTGTTGACGGTTGTTTAGTGAAAATTTGGTCCAAGAAGTAACTGAGTAAAGATTAACTTCTGTAGAAATAGTGAGATTTGAAATATCTTGAAACGTTTTGACAGTTAATATAACTCTGTATTTTTGACGGTTGACGTTGTAAAATAACCTTTTTTGACGGTAGACGGTTAACTTTTAGGCCGTTTGACGAAAACGGTTGACCCGATTAAGCCCTCCTACCTTAACTTCCTCTAAGCATCCCTCGAGCATCCTAGGCAGGGCTTTTTAAGCCCCGGGGTACTCCTCACAATGGCCTATACGAGGCTTCTCCTGAAAGAAATACCTTTTTTAGGCTTCAGGTATATGAAAGAGTAGGAATTTCACTAAACGAAGTATATGAAAGGGTAGGGAAATCTGTCTTTTCGGCACTCAAACTCCGTAAATAGGCCCAAGAGGGCTAAGAGATGCAATTTACGGCTGTGATAAAGTCGAGAAAACCTTCTGGTTTTATGATTTGTTCTTCCGGCAGTGCACATGAAACATTCCGGAGTACCTACCGGGTTCTGATCCATTTCGTAATTATTTATAGGAAGTCGAAGTGTTTCGTATTATTATTATCTTTGATAAAGTCTATTATGCTATTCAGTAAAGGTTTACGTAAAGGGGAAAATTTCTGTTGTTGTTCAGTTCGAAATCAAAATTTTATTCGGAGTCCTTTAAGAGTGAAACGTGAAAACCATAAACGAAACTTTTGAAAATCGAAGAGAAGTGAATAAATTAAAACTGTCACATAGAAATCTTCAGCCCAGACAATATTTGACATATTTGTTTCTTGCTTCATACACATACTAATTCAACGCTACTGAACCTCTGATCTGCCGCGCTGAAAAGGAGTAATTACATGACCGGAACGAACTCAGTAGGTACGAATTTGTAAGTTTTGCAGTCGTTTACATGAGCCCAGGACGAGACGCTTGGTTCGACTTGCATTGGTCGATTACGTGAGACCCGTACAAACTCAAAAACAGGAGATTATTGGAGCTAATATATATTTTTCACAAGTCGATTATTATAGTAACATATTATTTACTAACTGTCCTAACTAGTGCAAAATTTACACCAGTAAAGACAGTGAGTAGAGAACCGTAGAGTTTACTGCTCCCAGAAAATTGTAAGCTTTATTAAACTCTCATCTGATGGCCTGTTAATAAATAAATGCACAGCATCTCAAAATGGTGCAATCCGTCACTTAATCGAAGCATAAATTCAGTTGAAACTACGTCCGTGTCCTGTTTACGGTTATTCATAGCAGTGTTCCTAGTTTGCTAAGAAAAAGCAAAAATGATGGAGCTATACGAAGAAACATGCTATTTATGGACCCGGTCTGAGATTTGTTTCCGTTTTACATGAGAAAGGTACAGTCTCAGTCGGATACGAAAGTAACCCCTGTCGGGTTACACAGGTCTGAGTTCATTTCTAGGCCGGTCCCACGTAAACGCATGAAAAGAAATGTATGGAGATCGATACGAACTCATACCGGTCTGAGTTAGTCCCGGTCTCATGTTATTACCTCCTAAACCATGCTCACAGCCACAGCTAATGCCAATTATATTGAAATATATTAATTAATTAAAACAACCACCAGGCACAGCTGGGTGCTTAACTTTATCGAAGTTTTTTCTCCCCTTGTTCAGGAAGTGCCAAGAAACCAAGAAACCCACAAATTCAGTACAAAGACAAGAACCGTTCAAAAATCCCTTTGCAGCACGCTTAGGATTTACGGCGACCAGGGTCTCATGCAATGTCCTCAAATTGTGTTGATCTGTGTTCGCTCTAGAGAAATTTTGACGTAATTAAAACGAGGCTCGAAAAGTAATCAAAACAAAAAATATGTTTGCCATTAAGTACTCTAATAAATACTATATCATACGTCATTTCGAGGTCAAACAGCCACGCATTCATCGGAGTCACGCGATTAAACGAGGCATTCTGGTAGTAACAATAGATGCTTTGAACGTGTAAAGTTCCATTCATTACGAACCACTGCAACATCTGCGAACTAAAAACCTTTAATGGCGGGTTATATCGCTGAACCAATACCGCCTTTCAACTGCATCTTTGATCAGTTAAGGCTGGCCCGAAAAATTGATCTGGCATAAGGAATATTTTTTGCTAGGGATCCAACAGGCAAAACATAGCGGTAAATAGAGACTTCGACAGATAAGCAACTCTAAACGAGCCAATCTCTGCTCTCTAAATGGCCCCCACCTTACGATCGTTTCAATAATTTGCATTAACAAACACAACATTGCGTTCCTTCAAGTGCATTTAGTTGGCTTCTCGCTGCGTTTCACAGGTGTGGGCTGTTGTGAGCTTTATACTTGCGCGAGGTTTGTCTAGCTCCACGTACTCTCGCCAAAAAGGCTTCTGAACATGGACGGATTAGCCAAAGTCAAGGGAAAGCTGCAAGGAATCAAGGATAAGATCGAGAAGGCTGAAGATCGAGAGAAAGATGCGAAGGAGCAGCTCCGGGAAGTGGAAGAAAACCTGGACAAAAATGAAGGAGACGTAGAATCATTCCGGCGAAGAATAAGGCTTATGAGAGATGAGCTGAGCAAGACTAAGGAAGCTTTATCAGAGAAGAAGACCAGATTGTCTGAAGTACACGGTATTTCAGCCGAACACGAAAGCGTTTGCAAGGAGCTCGAGGGAATTGACCGCGAGAGTGACGAGCGCTTAACTGGGCTGGAGGACGACGTCGGTGAGGCCTCGCGATGCGCCAAGGAGTCGGATGAACGACTGCAAGAGACCAAGCAGAAGTTGAAAGTTACTGTATGCGAAAAGGAGAAGGCAAATGAAAGATGCTGTAGTTTAGAAGACAAATGCACCGAGCTGGAGGAACAAATTCAAGGAAAAGGAAACGAACTGCGTCACCTTGAAGAGGAAGATTCGGAATTGGCAGAACGCGAACAAGAATTGCATGAAAAGTTAGAGTTCTTACAAGAGCAACTGAAAGAGGTGGTGGCTCGGGCTGAAGAGGCCGAACGTAAAGTGCAGCCACAAGAAAGCATCATCGACGACTTGACGCAGGAACACGACTCGTACGCGGAGAAAATTAGACTGATCAAGCAAGAACTAAAAGACATGGAGGACGAGGTCGAAAGATCCATGGACGACGTGGAGGCAGTCGAGCAAAAGAAGGTCACAGATCGGTACCAAGAACACTTTGAAAGTGAGGAACCCAAGTCAGAGCCCGACCCTGTGCCAGACACCGCCGATGAGGACGTCCAGCAGGAAGAACATCACGAGTCGGAGCCCGAAGAAGACTAAATCGCTGTTAGTGTGCCTCGCGTGACCTCGCGCGGGTTAGTTACGTGTAAGTGAGACTCATGGCCATTTATCAACACAAACTGTGCTAAGAGTAATTCTAACCTTCTTAGAGTTTTTCTTTTCTATGTAGATGTAAAACGCAGACTACTCTCTTTAAGGATTTTAATTTTGTGATGAATTTGCATAAAATTTTCAAATTTGTTGCGGAGTAATTGGAATTTTATGATTATGGCAAACAGCGGGAGATAACTTAACATGATTTGTCTGTCAAACCAAATTATGCAGCTCTTAACATTTTTGTCTGGCTTTTTAAATAAAGTTTTTAATTTGCATTGGATCATTTCGCGAATATTTGTTATTTTTGCGCTTGTCGATTGCAAAAGGGAACTTTAAATGCTTGATTGCGTGACAAAAACGAAAATCACCTGAGCGTTGCGGTCTCAGCCGGATAAAAAACACCCTCTGTTCATTTGTTTATCACTGCTAAAAGGAAATCTGCGAAGCTTAAAACGCTTTTAGCGAGCCATACTTGCGCAGTCATCCTTAAGTTAAAGGGTTGGGCTTGGCTTTTTTGCCTGTGGTGACCAGTGTTCCGTCCTTGTATCCTTGGAGGGTGTCTTCTCAACATTGTAAACACATGATAAATTTTTTCGGTATTTCTTTTTGGGCGGATTTCTGTACTGTTAGGAAAGGAATTTTTTCCTAAGTATGGTTTATCTATCGACAAGAGAGAGAAAGACATCAAAGTGCATTTGTCTACAATTTTTTATTTTAATTGGAAAGAGGAAACCGTAATATATTCGAAAAAAAGGGAAAAACTGAAACCGCCATACCGCTCCGGAGATAAAAATGAAAATTTCGGAAAATTTTTGGCCAGAGATGTCTGTAAATTTATGAACTGACCCCCCACTTCCTTTCCGTCAGGGGGAGAACTAAATTATCCAACACAAGGACACCATCGTTCCGAATGTCCTGTGCGCTGCTTAATACGCAGGTTTTTCACTTAAAAGGCGTTTATTGACGTTATTGTTTCATGTAGCTAGACAACTAGACTGCGAAAACACACGGTTCCTTTTCTCAAAACCGGCTTTTTTAGGTGATCACCTTGTTTTGCGGTGGCGGGTCCAGGGGAGGGGTCCGGGGAGCCCGCCCCCCCTTATTTTTGGATCAAACTGAGACTCGAAGGCCGAAAAAATTTTTAAGACCACCCCTCCCCCCCTTATCTCCTTAGTGTCTGGATGATTGCCTCCCTCCCCCCTTATCTGAGGGTCTGGATCCGCCATTCTTTTGCACTGCGCATTACCTCCTGCATTTACTGCGCATAACATTGGAGAGATTAAGCATCCCGTTTACGGCAAACAGCAAACGTGAGATTCAAGTTGAGAAATTTTCAAAATGAGAAATGAGCAGATAAAAATTAAGCTGCTTAAAACAATTGTTATATATAGAATTAGCATGAATCTACAGATTTTCGTGTAGTTATAATGAACAGTAAACGATAACAAAGTTGAAAACTTGGTCACGTGGTACAAATTCACGTTTGCCGTTTGCCGTAAAGGTTAAACGGGACGATTCGCAACGTCGATTTTTAGCGCAACACAGTGTTGTAATTTTGGAACAATGTTGCAACTATTCGAAACAATGTCGCAACAATGTTGCAACACTGTGTCGTTGCGAATCGTCTCGTTTAACATCACTTTAAACACGATGCTCAAACTCTCTATTGCTGTATCAAAGGTGGCGACAGGAGCCAACAAAGGGAGCCTGTCCCAGGCTCTCAGACAGTAGGGAAGTCGCGGAAATAAAATAAGCCAAGTGAAAATAAGACGCGCCCGATCTATCTGGTGCAATGCCCGGCCTTTTGAGGCCATGAATATGCAACTCAAGGCCTTCTTTGGTCTTGATACTAGCCCCATTCCCCTCGCAGAGAGTGATTAGTTGAAGCCGAAATTGTCCCTTTATTGTATTTTTGCGATGAAACAAGATCGGTGATGCCCCTTTTTTAATTAATGTTTTTACTCATAATGGATAAACGAAAATAATATTTTAAGGAGAAAACATCTCTGGATAGTTGAAGTTGTATAATTGAGAATTGAATGCTATGAATGCATTTGGAGCTACAATGGAGAAGAAGATAATGTTAAAAGGGCCCATTTTATTCCATTATTTGCAAGATGGGCAATTTGAAGACACCTGAGTGAAAAACTATAGCCCAGAAAAACAAACGGGCTCTAGGTTTTGGTAATATTCAAAGTTTTTGCTATGCGATAAGAATTTTTGGCGGTTGTTCAAGTTTCGAATATTTCGCGCGCAACTTAAAAAAAAAACAACACACACACACACTTAGCAGTCTGCACAGCTGGTGGTGGGATCGTCACGTCAGCGAGTTTTTGAGGGTTGCCTGTCCACGCGGACCGATGGGGAAGAGACGCTTTGGAATTTTCTCGCTGTCATGTTCTACACATAGCTGACAATTGTGACAAGTTTAAAAAAAATCTGCACCGTACATCCGAAATCCAGGAATTCTTGCCTCTGGAATCCGAAATCTTAAGCTTAAGCCTTAAGATTCAGGAATACAGCACAAGGAATCCAGAATCCCACTAATGATTGGATTGCGCGCATCTTATGGAATCCGGAATCCAGTACCCGAAATCCAAAATCCACGACTAGGAATCCAGAATCCAAGACTGTCTTGGATTCCCTCACATGGAGCGAGGGGCACCCAACGAGAATATAGTTCAAAACCACTTAAACATAGCATTGTTAAACGTATTTTAGTATTTAAACGGTAGATAGAGGCATATTATTATCCCGAGCTGAAAGTCTAGTGATCCGAAAATTAGAGGGATCAAAACTTACCTTACCAAGAAAAAGGTTCCCGTGAATTCTTGGTGACCTTTTTAGGGTAAAAATCCGTTAAAAATGGGCAATTATATCAATTTTTAGGTGTTCGGAAATCCTAGGAGAGGCAGGCAAGCAAGAAATTTTACAACAACTGTGCCGAAAATTCTAGATCTCAAATCGTCTTCGGAACAGATATTTTCCGAAAATTGACGTTAGGTGCCTCTGAAACCTACACTACACTCACATGAATGAATATGAAACGGTGCAAAACAGATGTTGCATATGGAAATTACCTTGTGTTCATGATTTATTAGTTCTATGTCCTAGTGTGATTGGTTGAATAGCAAAATCCAAAATACCTTAAAAATACTATAGTTTACCTTTCATAGCCATGTTTTACCTTTTCCTCTCGTGATAAATGCATAATTTATAGTAGAAGCTCCTTTTCCTTATACTATAATTAAGACGTGCGGGGTTAAAATTTGCATTATAATAGCTAGTTGTCATTATAAATTCAAAACATATTAAAATCATTATACATGTATAAAATCTTCTACTTCACCTCCCACCTCGATTAGTTGGATTGTGTAAATTGCTTTTTTTTTTATTGACATTCTTCTGATATTACATATCTATTTGATGTGTGTTTACATCGTCAGTTTTGTTTTTACTGACCCGAAATTTCGTGACATGCTCCAAAATAACTAATACTTCGAGGCGATATCAAGCGCGTTCCCACGTTTGACTTGTGCTTTGAAGTGTGCCCTTATGGTCGATTGTGATAGGTCAAACAGTGCAATCAACAGTCGCCATTTGAATATTTAACCCTATTTATAATTTCATCTCCCTTTAATCTTTTCTTCTCAGCAAATATCAGTGGAAAACGTGTACTAGAGGTATCAGCATGGCCAAGATAAACTGTTACAGTCAACTCATTGTAAAAGACTTGAATGAAGCCTACTTTTTGCCATATACTATTTCTTCCTATCACGAAGACGCCAAGTTCCATAACGACAAGAAATACTTGGTTTTTGACCGTCGAAGAGAAATGAAAACCGTAGACACGTTACCACCCAAAAGACATCTCGCAACAATAGGTAATGCAATCGTAAGTTTGGTAGACATAAAACCTGACAGTCTCCAATTAGATCACTGGAACAAGTGGCTGTCGGTTTTCGCAGCTGCAGAGGTGAAATCCATCGAAGAAGGTTTTGCGGACGATATTCCAGTTGTGAGCACCGGACCGTTGCAGTGTCTACCAGCAAAGAAGCATGCCATTGATCCTGAACTGCATGCAGAGTTGCTTTGCAAAAGCACAATCCCGCTAATTGGAGTTCCAACTCCTCGACTCATGGAAGAGGGCAACATTTCCTTCCCATGCATGCTCAAAGTGGATCAATCGAGCGCTGGAAACGGAAACTATCTAGTTCACAATTCACAAGAGCTAAAAGAAGTCGTGGCAGAGATTAGGGACAAGTGCTTTTGGACGGGAAAGTACATCTTGCAAGAGTACATACCAGACGCTGTAACTATGGGATACTATTTTTACGTGTTTAAGTCAGGAGATATTCATTGGTTAGGCAGCTTGACCGGGACAATTTCAAAGGATTTCAAATGGGTTGCAGGAATGGGTGATTGGCACAAGCAGGAGGAGTTAAAAAAAGCGGTTTACGAGGAATTCATTTTGCCGGTGAAAAACTTCCTCCATACTTCTGGGTACTTTGGAATAGTCAATATTGAGATTCTGGAGAAGGAAGGAAGACGCTACATGGTAGATCTTAACTGCCGGCTCCCATCGGTACTGCCGCAGTTGTTCATAGCACCCTATATGGCAAAGCTTGGCTTGCCCAGGTCCTTGATGTCGAAGGGCAAAATTCTGCCATGCACAAGAACAGAACTGTTTGCGATGGCAGAAGAAATCAATAAAAAAGGTCCCGGAAAGGTTATCGTACTGGCTGCAGCGGGCCTTGATGGAGTTTTTAAAGCCGACCTCGGTTTTTTTGCTGAAACTATGTCTGGCATTGAAGCACTGATTAACATATTGGATCTCGACAATAAGAGCATCACAAGTTAAAATCTCCAACACCCAAGTCTTCCATGATAGATAACAGAACATAGGAGGGGCGTGGCTTGGGTGCCCCTTAGCCCTTCTTTTGTGAGAGGTATCCCATAGGCATACCGGCAATTTTCGGCCAGGGGGGCGGTAAACCATTTGCCCAAAAAATTCTTGCAAGTTGCCCAAATTTTACAACACAGTCGAGAAGAAACGAGGGCCATACGATGCAACAACATAGGCCGTACTGGCACATGAAAGTGCCTCGATACAGTTTTTCAGGGTCAATACCTGCCAAGTTTGAGCATAAACTACGTCGCCATAAACAAACATTTGGAAAAACTGCCACCACAGTTGTATTAGAAAAAGATGAAAATTTGTCATGATCAGGGTTGCAATGACATTAGAGTTGTCGTAGCAACGAAATAACGCCATTACCTATTATACTTGCAGCATTATTTCTAACTATGAAATCGTTTTTGGGAGCTTTTTCCTCCATTAGTGGCCTCGATGTTCGTGAAGTTAAAACGGACTGTAAGAGCGTTATCGGGATATTTTGGGATAAAGTTTTTTATAGTTAGAAATACAGTAAAAAAAAGGAAAATCTTGATGTTTAGCCGTTATCTGAAGAAAACGAAGCGCTTTTGACATGCAATTTCACCTCATAGTAGCTTCAATCTATTTAATAATGTGTGAATTAATTTAGAGATAATTCTGGTCAATTTCTACAAAGAAGGATTTCATTAGTTGTAAACATTTCGGTCTTCTTTAACAAATTAGTGAATAAGCTGAACCACTTGATAGATTTTTTTAAAGAAAAGCTAAGCTTCTTCTCGTAATTCAAAGTGAGAATTAGTCAGAATTAGTCAGCCACTTCTTCACTTTCAGATCAATCGCTGATGCTATCTCTCAAACACTGTTCTACGAGCGGAGATGATTCTAGAAAGTTAGGCAAGGGGAGTTGGGGAGCAAGGATGGCGCAGTGGCGAGAGCACTCGCCTCCCACCAATGTGGCCCGGCCCGGGTTCGAATCCTGGCGTCGACGCCATATGTGGGTTGAGTTTGTTGTTGGTTCTCTCCCTTGCAGCGAGAGGTTTTTCTCCGGGTAATCCGGTTTCCCCCTCTCCTTAAAAACCAACACTTTCAAATTCCAATTAGATCTGGAACGCACGGACACGTTTCAACGAGTTCTTATGAACTCCTTAGTGCTCCGTGGGTAAACAAATTACAATTTACAATTTCAATGTTACAGGCGGAAGTTTATTCTAATCAATTCACGATTGGAAATAGCCCATTGCAGTACAGTGGCCAACGATAACAAAAACTCAGCATATGATACTCTTCCCATATAAACAGAAACTCATCAAGTGCTTGGCAACCACTCTCGTGTGAATGTAACTGGATTATAACGCCGACTTCAGGTTAAAATAGAAAATATTTATCTCTTCAAAATACTAATAAAAAACATGAAAACGTCTTTAAAAGCCGGCTTTGCCCGAATTTTCTCTTGCTGCCCAAAAAATCTGAGTTGCCCAAAATTTGGGGGCGGGGTTGCATCCCCCCTCGCCCCCCCCGGCCCGTACGCCTTTGCCGTTCTCAGAAACCATATTCTCTAACCATATTCGTATCTTCTTTCTAAGCTGTTTTGAAGGCTTTCCTCTTACCACGCTCGTTGCTTATCCGAAAAATAAGGATCACTTTTAGAAAAACACTGCTTGGAAGTCGACAGGATAATACAGTGTCTACAGTGAGTACTCTGGGTGTGTCACAAGGTTACATCCGCCCCCATCCACCCCCTCTTTGAAAAATCTTAGCTACACCCCTGCACATAAGCTATTGGTTCATGTTCTGAAATTTTTGTCAAACGAACAAAAACGGCAACAACAACAACAACAACAACAACGAAACTGTCGATGAATCAATTTTTAACGTGACTGGTTTTGAAGATGGAGCGAATATGAAAATAAGCGGTTTTAGCACGAAAACTAAGTTGTTAAATTCTACTCTGAGTTTAACGATTTAAGTAAAAACCAATTTCGTCATTTATTCAGGCGTTCGAAAGGAAGGCGGGCGAACATGAGAGGAACGTAAAGCCCGCCCCTGACGACCTGAAGGTAAATAAAAGTGATACCTGATATACCAAACTGTTGAGTAGGTGTTGTGTAAGTTTAGTTCCGAGTTAGTTCACCATGATTCTACGTTTCCCATAATATGGTCTGTTTAACTCCCCCCGCACCACACCCCTCCCCCAAAAGAAAATAGCACAAGCATTGTCTTCAATTTATCTTGGGACGACTAGATTTTGGTTTCATAAAGACGCCTATGGAGGCTTAAGCTATTGTTCCAGTGATAAAAATTATTCAGTCTACACTGCTCTTGCGTTAGCACGCAGTAAATAATAATGTATAGCTCTAGCTCGACGTGTTAATCGTCCTTTATTGTACAATCTATTACTATCGGTCCTCTCATTGGCTAAGAGCTTATAATTAGTTCTGGAAATCAGTCGGCTACCGACAGAGAATTCAGTTAGCTGCGCGCGCGAGGCAGGACTTGCACACAGCCAAAACCATGGCTGGTCGGTTTGCTACCTCGACTACACAAGAAATTGATCAATAGCTTATAGATTAGACTCTTAAATTACAAAATGATTCACGAAAGTTGGAATAGGAATCTTTTTCAAGTATCTGAGAGAGTGTGGTATTTCTTTTATAACCACTACACTTCTATTCTTTTCTCTCTCTCTCTCTCTCTCTCTGTTCCGTGTAACAGTGCCTATATCGTTGTCTTCTTTGAAACCTTCGGCCTCGGTTCATAACATTTACCTCGTCCAAGATTATTCCGATATCACAAAAACTTCATCGAACAATAAATTGCTAATTATCACGAGACACAGACTAATGCAATGTCCTATGGTTCAGTTTGGTCAACGCTTACTACCGACAGAATAAGAAAGTTGAACAAAAAAGTTTTGTTCGAAATCAGGAGAAAAATACAATTAGTTTCAATCCAATTTTTACTGCAGTTCGAGAGATCTGCTAAATACTGTGTAATTGTCATTTGTAACTGATGTTTAAAGACGTCAACTAATTTGCGCGTTTTTCAGAGAAGCAGTAATCTGGCCAGCGGCTGTCACCATCGCACATCCTTTGTACTCGGCTATACCCTCGTCGGAAGTTACCAAGTCCGGCTGAAAAGCACAAAGAGAGAAAGATTAAAACCATTCAATAGAAACGGTGAAAAGCAACCGATGTTCGTGTCACACTAATCTGCATGTGTATAAACACGGTCGCTCTCGTTGCCCCCGCCGTCTGCGCATGTCAAACTCCCTATCGCCCCTAAAAATTCAGAAGATTATTAAATGCAAGTGAAAGGTAACTGGCACTTATCTCACAGACAAAAAGACTACAGAAGCATTATCCCCGGGGGAGGGGTACTCGATATATCCCTGGGTGGGGAGGTGCGGCGCGGCCCCTCATACCCTGACCCTGTTTAAGACAAATATCGCTGATTTTCCTGCCCTGTTTAAGACAGAATTCCGATTTTTGATACCCTGTTTAAGACGTTAGAGCCTGTAAAAATTTAGCTGTTTATCGTCCAAGAAAAGATATCCTGTTTAAGACAAAAATTGATAAATCGATACCCTGATTAAGACAAAAAATGATAAATTCGATACCCTGTTTAAGATAAAAATCCCGAAAAACATACCCTGGCTGGCCGCACGTCCCCATTAAGCCCTTATTAGGGAGTATCCCCCCCCCGGGGCTTTATCCCACTGACGAAAATCTGAATTTACCTTGAGAGTTTCAAAAATCTTTTTCTTGGGATTCAGCTGTTCATCTGGATCTGTTAATAGGGAAAAGATAAAAAAAACCTAAACAAACACGTCATTAAGGCGCACTGTGGTTTTAGTTTTCTAGGGTTAATGAGTGTCTCTGGCTGATACGTTGCATTTCTAGAATATTTTCATGAGCAATAATATTGTCTTTTAATTGCAGGCGACAAGAGGAGCCCGCAATCCTAATCTCCAGGTTGTTATTACGCATGCGTCGCACGTAAGTAGCTAGTATTCGTTTGGACTTCCACTAAGAATGAATGGAATGCACAAAACGCAATTTGATCATGCGCATTTCGACCTTCTACCCCTCGTAATCTGATCATGCGTGTTTTGACCATCTGTCACGTGAAACTTACGCAAAGCACATTGTTGGAGTAAATGCGTTTTGACCTTCGATCGTTGTCGCCCGCACTCCCTAACCTTTGGTTATTATTAGTCAATAAAATTTATGATTTTATTTGTGAACACTGGCTTTACGACCCATGAAACGTGTTGTTATGTTAAGATATAGCTCGAAGAATATTCCTTCCAACAGCCTCAAAAGATACGATGATAAGCCCTTCAGCTGTTCAACGACGGCGAAGGTTACGAAAACGTCAGTTTAAGACAGAGTTTACACGTATCCGTTTTTGTTTGAAAGCGGATATTTTTTTCTCCGGTTTTGCCTACTGTCCACATGTATCCGGTGAAAACAGTCACCGAAAATGGATCTTTTCAAAAAACGCTCTCCAGAGTGGAGATTTTTGAAAACGCCAGCTTTTCATTTACGCGTGGACGGACGAAAACGGAGGTTTTCGAATACGATGATGTCATGTACTTCTAGCATGACGCATGCTCCGTGAGGGATGCTATCGTATTTACATCGTTGTAGCGTTTTCGTGAGGACAGGCGAAAAAGATTCGAATACGCTACGTAAGGATGCGTATTTTTTTT